GCTTGACCAAAACTGGACGATAACTCTGCTCACAGGATGCTGCCAGGGGTAAGTCAGTGTGATTGCATGCCACTGGTGATGGAGATGCCATACAGATTCATGTCAAAAATACCGAACTATCCCTTTAATCCTAAGAACCAGAACCTGATCTCATATCTATCTGTATATTTGGATCATTTTCACGAATTAAATCAGATGAAATGGTTTGTCTAAAGCACTGAGAGCTTTATTACTCCAGCTGAAGTACTTGCCTGGGTGACCACTTTGTACTTGTACTTTAGGGCCCTGTCACACCTTGCCGATTTATCCAGCGTTTGCCTGACGTCCCAGAATCTTCTAAAACGCTGGCATACGCTGAAATTTCTATGTATTTTTTCAAGTTTGGTTGTATACAGTTCCCTTTTACATCTCTGCTTCTGTCTCCTTGAACCCCAGTCAGCCTCGGCAGATGCTGCTCACACTGAGCCTGGTTCTGATGGAGGTTTCTTCCTGTTAAAAGGGAGTTTTTCCTCTCCACTTTCGCTACAAGCATGCTTAAGGGCTGGTTATCCTCCCACAGCAGTGTGTTGCAGTGAGCATGTCACAGATACTTTTGATTTATGCCCAATATTAAAGCGTGGTCTACGCTATGTTATTCCACGCCACAACACAAGAGGGATAATCTCGAACTAGCTGTAGGTCTAGATATGGATGAGGTGAGGAAGTGTGGGCGAGTTTGTGTGACAATAGAGGGACATGAGGGGGGAAAAAAGAGTAATGTAAAAAGAGTCCCAGCGTTCTCACGCACCTCGCTCTTCTAGCTGGTCCAACTTCATAAGTTGTTTTCCACAATGGCGGTCATACAAACAAAACAAGCCGGTAAGGAACCAAACAGGAAATACGCATAGAGCGGATGCAGATTTGACCAATCAGAGGCCTCCTGTCTTCGGCACTTTCTGTGGTCACCTACAATTTTAGAGAGGTACACTAGAGTGTCTGTGGGAGGGGTGGGGGCATCCCTGAGTTCACTGCGACACACACAGATGACCTGGTTTCGAAGTATAAAGCAGCCTTTAAAGGAATAGTACATCCAAAACATGATTAGCCTTCATTTTCTACTCACCCCCATGCTGAACAACACTCTGGAGTACTTTTTTGA